AGCAATTTGGAATTCCTACTAAAAAGTTTCCCACACTCCAGACACTCAAATGGTATCTCTCCCGTATGAATCCTCTGATGTATCACCAGGTAGGAATTCTGAGTGAAACTTTTCCCACAATCGGGACACTCATAGGGCTTCTCTCCTGTGTGACTCCTCTGGTGTATCACCAGCTTGGAATTCTCCTTGAAACTTTTCCCACAGTCCGGACACTCATATGGTTTTTCTCCCGTGTGTGTCCTCTGGTGTACCACCAGTTTGGAATTCTGCTGGAAACGTTTCCCACAATCTGGACACTCATATGGTTTCTCTCCTGTGTGAGTCATCTGGTGTTCCACCAAGTGGGAATTCCGACTGAAACTTTTCCCACAATCCGGACACTCATATGGTTTTTCTCCTGTGTGAGTCCTCCGGTGCCTCGCCAGGTAGGAATTCTGACTGAAACTTTTCCCACAATCTGGACACTCATATGGTTTCTCTCCCGTGTGAGTTCTCTGATGTATCACCAGCTTAGAATTATGCAGAAAACTTTTCCCACAATCCAGACACTCATATTGTTTCTCTGGGGTGTGAGTCCTCTTGTGTATCGCCAGATTGGTTTGCATGTTAAATTTTTTGTCACAATGGGAGCAGTGGTAGAGTTTCTCCTCCGTATGGTTCCTTCCAGGAATCACGAGAGACCTGTTCGGAGTAAAGCTTCTGCCACACCCCAAACATTTGTATGGCTTTTTACAGGATGGTTCAACTTATGCATCTAACAGATGTGATCTGCAATCTGTGTTGTTCCCATACTAAGAAGTTGGTAGGGATTTTCCAACATTGATATTCTTGGATTCTTGACGGGGCCAACAATGTTCTCACCTAGTGGTTCTTTGTTTCAAGCTACTCTTTTCTTACACAAAGCCTTTTCTTAATGCCTGCCAGTTTTGGCTATCCAGAGCTATCCTTTATTCCCACTGACTTCCAGGTGTTCTTTATTTATAAATTATCCTCCTGGACTTTTTATGTAATGTTTCCTTGAGTTCCAGATACTCTATTTTTTCCCAGCTGAAAGCTTTGTTCTTGTAATTCTCTCCATTGTCTCTCATCAGCTGAGGAAGGAGAACAGATTTTATGCTTCCTGGAAGTAGTAGATGATTTTGATTGATCGTTTGTTTTACATTTTAATGCTGTTTCTCATTCTCTGTTGTCCAGAGTGCTCTTCTTGGCATCATCTTTGTCTGTAAGATTTATATTTATGGGTTAGTTTCATTATTATTTAAAAATGGCTGCAACTGTGAAAGCAGCAGAAATGCCTCATATGATATCATGAAAAAATAAACGTCAAAATTCTAGTTTAATCTCTAAGATTAACTATAATTTATTTGGCATGTAGAGGGATAGCCGATCGAAATATCAACCCAATAAAAAAAATTGTTTTGGCTTGAATAAATCACACTTACAGTGAATTCAGAAGTATTCAAAGTATTCTGATCCCCTTCACTTCTATCACTATCATTTTATTACGCTCTACAGTTGTTAAAATTAATTTTTTCTCATTAATCTACACTCATAATGACAAAGTAAAATCAGAATTCTACAAATGTCTGTAAATTTATTAAAAACAAACTGAAATATCACATTGGCCTAAGTATTCGGACCCTTCACTCAGTACTTTGTTGATCCATCTTTGGCAGCAATGACAGCCTCAAGTTTTTTGGATCATGACATGAGAAACTTTGCACGCCTGGATTGGGGTATTTTTTTGCCATTCTTTCGTTCAAGTCCTCTCAAGGTCAGCCAGGTTGAATGGCAACCATTGTTGGACAACACACCTGTGTTGTCTTGGTTCTGGCTGAACTGCAGAGATCCTGTGTGGAGATGGGGGAACATTCCAGAAGGACAACCATCACTGCAGCCCTCCACCGATCTAGGTTTTAATGGCAGACTGGCTAGGCGGAAGACTCTCCTCAGTGCAAAACACATAAAAACCTGTTTGTAAGAAAGCACCTGAAGGGCTCTCAGACTCTGAGGAACAAGATTTTCTGGTCTGTTGAAACCAAGACTGAACTGTTTGGACACAATTCTATGGTAATTGTTATGTCTGAAGGAAGCCTGGCGCGGCTCATCACCTGCTCAAAGTTATCCCAACAGTGAAGCATGGTGGTGGCAGCATCACGCTGCGGGGTGTTTTTCAGCAGCGGGGATGGGGAGACCGGAGAGGGTTGAGGGAAAGATGAATGGAGCAAAGTACAGGGATACCCTCCATGAAAACCTGTTCCACAGCACTCACGACCTTAGACTGGGCCTAAGATTCAGTTTCCAACATGACGACAATCCTAAGCACACAGCCAAGACAACACAGGAGAGGCTTAAGAACAACTCTATGAATGTCCTAGAGTGGCCCAGCCAGGGGGCCCTGACTTGAACCCTACTGAACATTTCTGGAGGGGACTGGAAATGGCTGCCCACCAATGGTCGCCATCCAACCTGACTGAGCTTGAGAGGACTTTCAAGGAAGAATGGTAGAAAATCCCCCAATCCAGGTATGCAAAGCTTATCGCCTGATACCCCAAAGCCTGTAATTGCTGTCAAAGGTGCTTCAGCAAAATACTGAGTGAAGGACCTGAATATTTATGCCAAGGGGGTATTTTAATTTTTTTTTGTTTTTAATACATTTACAGACATTTTCTAACATTCTGTTTTCACTTTCTCATTATGGATGTAATGAATGAGGAAAAAAATGAATTTCAAGAAGTGTTAAATGAGGCTGCAGCACAAACAAAATCGACAGCAGTGAAAAGGGTCCGAATAGTTCCTGAATGCACCGCATATGGGATCCTATTCACAGAGAAATGCACGCCTAAGGATTTATCTATGGAAGCAATTATGTGTATTTCAGTCTGCAAAATGCCTCAGAAGTGGATTCGCTCCGTTATCTTGATCTGATTTTAGGAAGGAGGGGAAGGAGACACACTAACAGACGGAAATGGTGAACAAATTCTAGGCAAGATTTAAAGCAAGGGTGTCCAACCTTGACAACTTTAAGTTGTGGACTTCAGCTCCCAGAATTCCTCAGCCAGCTTTGCTGGCTGAGGAATTCTGGGAGTTGAAGTCCACAAGTCTTAAAGTTGCCAAGGTTGGACACCCCTGATTTAAAGCATCTATTCTGCCCATGAAGCTCCTCGCTTGCCAGGAAAGCAACAGTCAATAAAATAACAAGGAATGAAACGTAAGGTAAAGGGTGAGGGAGGTGGGTGGTTAAGAAATATGAAAAATATATGAAAATCTCCCAGCAGAAAATCACAGGCAGCCGTTTTAAATCAAGCAGCAAAAGGATAATAAAATTCGGGGACGGGAAAAATATACAAACATATACAAAAATATACAGACAACGCCATGTTTCAGCTGCTTCCCCGCCGTGGAGGAACCCAAAGGCGCCCGACTTGCTCCGGGCTTCTCCGACCTGCCGTCCACTCACCTCCCAGGAGCCGCTTCGATCCTTCAAACAAGGGTCCGCCAACGCCCTCCTCCTCCTCCTCCTCTCTTCCTCCGGGTAAGCCGGAAGAAAAAGTTCCTGTCTCCTCCTCTACATCCTCTCTAGCAATCGTATACTCTATCGTTTCAATCGGTTCCAGTTCCGCCTCTCTCCCTCCGGTAGAATGTCAATAACAGCGATGCCGCTGCTTGTAGTCTATTCTCGGCTTTCTAGGGGCGAGTGTTCCTTCTTTGTAGATCGCCGCCTAGCGACATAAAGTTGAAAAATCACCCCTCGTTTCTCGACCTGAAAGCGTTTGCAGGTGGTTTTAATGGATCGCTGTGCCAAGTCCAATGGTGGGATTCAAAAGGTTTTACTACCGGTTCTGTGGGCGTGGTTTGGTGATCGTGGCCATGTGGTGGTGGGCGTGGCTTATTTTGCAGCCACCACCCCCCATCAGTTTTTCGGGGGCCTTCTGGGCCTCAGAGGACCCTCTTGGGAAGGTTTGCTCCCGTAAGGCTCCTCTGCGGCTCAGGAAGGTAAACAATGGCTGAGCCCCTCCCTCCATTTTTGTCTTCCTGGGCCTCAGCAAAGGGAAGGCAAGGCCTCAGGGCAGCTGATCATATGAACAGTTGATTGTCTGGGAGGAAATACTGGGGGCATGGCCAGCCAGAACTTACTACAGGGACATATCAGGACCAAATTCCAGGCTGTGGGAGAGTCAGCCGGCAATCGGCATTCTAACCACTGAGCCAACAGGGCACCTGTCATTATTTCCCCCCCCTTTATTTTTGCACCCATCTGTTCTTCCAGGTCAGATAGGATGGGAATGCTCCTGACCCCTTTTCTTAAATATTGCCATTGGATAGGAGCTAGGAAGAGAGCCTTGCCTGTTGCAGCTCCTGCCGTAGGAGACACTCTTCCCCCTTAAGTTTGGCAGGCTTTCACCCTCCTAGTGCTCCATAAAGCAAATAAAAACTAGCTTTTCCCCTAAACATTGGGAGAAGCAGCAGCAAGGGCTGCACATCAGAAGGTGGATCGAAACCAGGTTTTTGTTTTTATGCATTTGGTTTTAATACAGTTTTAAAGTTAATTATTGATTGGGAGCCAGCCAGAGTTGGTTCTAACACGGGAAGCTACATAAATTTTTTTTAAATAAATCAGTGGAAGAAGAAATGAATGAATTTGCTGAGGCAAGTGGCTTGAGGCAAATGAAGGTCTCTACATTTATTAATACATGTTAAATGTGGTGCCTTTGCATTTTGCCATTTGAAATATATATGGGGTTATTCGTTTGTGTATTAAGGTTTTATTGCTGGAGTCTGTATTAAGGTTCTATTGTGCAGTCACCATGAGTTTGGCTGCCATATAAATTTTCATGCTAAGTAAAAATACATACATACAGGTTTATATCCCCCGTATTATATGTAGAAATTGTTAGGAATATAAGTCACCTAACAGTGATTTGGGTTGGAAATATATAAACCAGGATAGACATTTTAATACTGTATCTTTAAGAAAATGTAAAAGTGTAATTGGGCATGGTTTCTCAAACGGCCATAAAATGGATCCAGAAACCTGGGTTGTCTTAATCTTAGTCTTAGTCTCTGAAGAGAGTGTGAGTGAGTCTCTGTTTCCTTCTGTTGGAGAGTATTGCCGTTCCTCTTAATTGACTGCTATTCTTGGATTTGATGTAAGTCTGTTACTGAACTGTTTTTTGACACTGGACTTTGTTATTGGATTATCCCTGGACTGAAAACTGACTGATCTTAACCTGTGAATGACTTTTTGAACTTTGCTTAAACCTTTATCGAAAGTAAAAAAACCCTACATTTACTGTACAGTGTATCTGTGTGCTGTGTATTATTCAAACACTTCTCTCAAATATGTCTCCCTGTATGCAATCATTCTCCTAACGGGAAATTACCTCAACAGAAATAACTCAACTCAACAAACATACTTAATAGAGCTCGAAACCCACTTTCTCTGACCCAGCAATGGCAGTTCCCCTTGACTCTGTGAAACGGAACGAACGCATTGTGCCGAACTAAGGAAGCTCAGATATCCTCCCTCATGTGTAATAATGACGGATGCTTGACTAAAAAGAATCATGTAAGAAATTAAATTAACAATTTCTCAGCTGGACTTTCAGTAAGAGACAAGAAAAAAAAATTCAAGATTTCTCTAAACACTGTCCACAATCTGGACATTTGAATGGTTATTCTCCTATGTGTAACCTTACGTGATTTAGAAGGCTAGTCCTATAAGTGAAATCTTTCCCACAATCCGGACACTCATACGGTTTCTCTCCTGTGTGAGTCCTCTTGTGTATCACCAGGTTGGAACTCTGACTGAA